CCAAGCCGATCTGCTGCTGCTTCATTGGATGTGGATTTGCGCCGTGAGCCAAACTACAACACGGTTGATCGTCTGTCGTAACTGCAATCAAACATTCCTAAGCTAACACTTGAGCAGAATGACAGTTACAATCAAATAATACGGGCTTTCAATAACGGGTTGAAGAAATCTTCTTCTTAGTTGCACGAGGAGGGACTGGCAAAACGTTCCTACTGAGACTGATTCTGGCGGCAACTCTTGCGTCGTCCGGAATAGTTACGACCTTGTTACCCGGCGGAAGAACTGCTCATTCAGCTTTGAAATTGTCGTTGAACGTGAAATTCATTGACACTCCGGCGCGCAACATTTTCAAGTTATCCGGCATGGAATAAGTACTGCAGAAATACAAACTTATTGTTTGGGATGAATGCAAAATGGCGCACAAAACACCTCCGAGGTCCTGGATCGACCATTGCAAGTTTGCGCGGAAATAGCAAGCCATTTCGCGACGCATTGCTACTGCTTGCATCTGACGTCAGACAGACATCGCCTGTAATTCCTCGATCGACGCCAGCGGACGAAACAAATTCCTGCCTGAAATTCTCTTCTTTGCGGCGCCACGTTCAGAAATTAAAATTAATTATATATATGCGTGTCCAGCTGCAAAACGACCGAACAGCTGAACCATTCTCCCAAAATTGCTGACAATAGGGATAAAACGGTGCCGATTGATCCGACTTCAGGACGCATTTCACTACCTCTTACCTTCGGCAATTTAGCGTCATCAAACGAAGAATTAGCTGAAAAGGTATTTCCAAATATTCGTACCAATCACGATTGGCTGAGCGAACGGGCGATTCTTGTGGCCAAGAACAAAGACCTCTACCAACTTAACCATATTATGCAGTCTCGGATTCAAAGCGAGGCAGTCACATGCACGTCCGTCGACACTGTTATGGAAGCAGAACAGGCAGGTAATTATCCAACAGAATTTTTGAATTCACTTGCTCTTCCAGGGACGCCACCGCGCGTACTGAAACTGAAAATCGGCGTGCCGACTATCATGCTGCGAAATATCAACCAGCCGAAGCTTTGCTATGACACGCAAAAAAATTAATGAGCAACGTCGCGGAAGCAACTATCTTGACAGAACCCTTTCAAAGGCGAACATGTCCTTAGTCCTCGCATTCCACTGATTACAACTGACATGCCATTTCAATTTAGGCGACTGCGATTCCCGACTCCATTTACGTTTGCAATCACCGTGAACAAAGCTCGAGCCAATCTGCAGAATTCTGCGATTTGGATCTGCAAACGGATTGTTTCTCACATGGCCAATTATATGCTGCGTGCTCCAGAGCCGCAAACCAGAGAATCTCTATATCTACACAGACAATGCAACAACAAAGATATTGTATACCCACAAGCATTGTGAAATAAAACATATATAAAACGTGCCCCTCCCTTTTCATAAGACTGAGCCACAGCAACGCGTGGCCGGGTCCAGCTAGTTTCGTATAAAACACTGCGTAAGTATCCATTACTTTATTTTTTCTGAAAGTGAGTCGAAAAATCGGCTAGTGTTGTCCAAACAATCCAATACTACGGTGTGTTTTAACCATAACAGCCAGAGCCAAGCCCAAGTTAGTTGGAGAAGTGGGGGTTGTCAGGCCAGGAGGTGTGTCGACATCGTAAATTCGCGCAAATAGAGGGGAAGGGAGGGAGAGGGGGAAGGTCGAAGTTCCCACCTGTCCAGTCAAAGTGATTTCCGAGGCATGCCCGCCGACCCTGCTGTAAGTTTCAGAAAGCACAGACGGTGCGGTAGAGGCAGTGGGATGCATCTCACTTCCAGGGTCAAGGTCAGGCCCAAGAGCGATAATCACGGTGACTGGGTGTCCGTGACTGAACCGGCGTGCCTGCTCGAGACTGTGCCGCGGCTGGCTTAGCGCTCCCGGGTTGGCTTGACGTACTTTGGTGGTTGGTGCATTCATCAAAGAGTCGACTGACCTTGACGCGGTAAGGCTTTTATGCTTGTGCGGACATGCTTAAGCACTGAAACAAAGAAGGGCAGCGATGTTTTCGCCGCGTGACTGCAGGTAGACCGTTCCCAGTGTGACCCAGTTTTTGGTCCTGGGCGTGGCTGAAAGCCTTCCTTGGCGCGGTGATATTCTTCCAAGGTCAATTCCTATACGGTTTTCAGGTGAGCGCCTCTCCGCCGGCGTTGTAATTGTAACACTAGCGAAGATCTCGCTAATTGTGTGGTTAGCATGTCCCCACCGATTTTTTATACCAATGTAGATCGTCATTTATTGGATGCCTAACTTTTGCTATTCTACCCTCCTTTGCAGTACTGTACAGGCCTGGTGATGAATGATCGAAAGCGTTCCTTTGCCGGACTTGACTTTCTAGATGTCTACGTGGGTATCATCGTTGAAATTAAACAGGTTAGATCGCAGTTGGTAGCCAGGAATGGGGGAAGCGGACGGCGAGGTCCCTGGCCCTTGCGCTAACCTCATACCTGAACTCTAACGCTAACCATAACCCCAAAACCTAACGCTAAGCTCCAAAACCCAACCGTAACTGGAATCCTAAAACGTAACCCTATCACTGACCCTAACCTTAACCCGTTAGCCTAACCGTAATGCTAAAACGTAGTCCCAACCCTAATACTAAAGCGTACTCCTAACCGTAGTCTTAAAACTAAAGAGTAACCACAACCTTACACCTAAAACCTAACCCTAAAGCCCTAAGACTAACGGTAAACCCTAATTGCAATACGGACCCCTAATCCTAAATATAACCCTAAAACCTAACCCCAACCTTAACCCTAAAATCCAAACGCAATCGTAACCGTAAAGCCTAAAGCTAAGCCCGGAAACCGAAATCCTAAAACCCAACTTTATCCCAAAACCTAGCCATAACCCTAACCTTAACCATTACCCTGACGGGCACCTTAACCCTGACCGAAATCTCAAATCCACCCGTAGCCCTTAAGCACAGCCCTAACCCTAACACTGAAACCTGACCCTAAAACCCAAAGCCCAATCCTAAAACTTCACCTATGCCTAACCCTAAATAATAATATTTCATACAGCATTTCAGTCCAGCATTCGTCTTCTATGTGGGTTTCAAGGAAGCCAGCGTCTCCTCTGAATATTGCATCTGGAGCAAAGTCATGGTTTGTCTGCAGATTCTGCAGATTTCAGAGGCTCTCGCATAATTATTAAACATAGCGGATATTCCAAGTTTGACTGCTGTTACTCATAAAACATACATTACTCTTTATCGACTCCGCTGGTCAGACGTGATTATGTAGCCCCACCTGAAGTAAACAAACCCCAGCCACCTGTAGTACGGGACCGGTGGTAATAGGAGTTTTTACAGGTGGGCCGGGGAACGCACAGGCGACGAGGTCAGGTAGTTGTGTGCAAAATAAAAAATATTGGGAATGCGCGGTTGTGCTTTGAGTGGTTGAAAAATAGTTGCACTAACCTCTGACCCTAACCCCTGATTCTAATCTCTAGCCCTAACCCCCAATCCCAACAGTGCTGTGTCCATCAGGTGGGTCTACATAACCACACCTTACCCTACTGCTACTCATAAAACATGCATTACTCTTTATCTACTACAGTATTCCGAGGTAACTAACATGCCTCTTTACATGGGAGTGCGGGTCTGTGATAAGCTGCTGCGAGGAAATGCATGGGATGCAGTTAGAAAATATAAATAGTAAGTAAAAAGTAGCGTTTTGTTCTAAAACATGCCAGTTGCATAGATACCAGTTAGTGGGATCAATGAATCTGGGGAAAGTAGGCCATATCATCAAGCGATCATCAGCAAAATCCCCAAGATTACAAAATTGAAAATCAGGCATCTCCCTTTCCTAGACTAGACCTCAAAATTGTAGGATATTTCCTGGGTGACAGTCGGGTATGTAACCCCATCTAGTCTCCGCTCCTAAGTAATACCTACTTACGCAATTTGGGTACGCCGGATTTAATTCCCTTTTTTGCTAATTCTCCGTCGCGCTTCTCTGAAGTGTTGTCATTAGTGTTAGCATTCGGGTGAGGTTTAGGAGGTTGTGGATTATGGTTGGGATTAGAGGTCAAGGTTAGAGCTAAGATTGGTCTATCAACGTGGCCCAGTCGCGGTCATCACGTGGGCCGGGCTTGGCAATACATTCTTCACACTTTCTTTTAAGGCATGCTCGTTCACCACGGGCTGGGAACAATTCATCCGGAATATCTAACCAATGCCCTGGGTGTGCACTTTTTGGTAAAAAGTGGTTTGGTAACCAAACCTGATGGACACAATACTGTTGGGGTTGGTGTTAAGGGTTAGGATTATAGGCTATGGTTGGGGATTATGGCTGGGGGTTAGCGGTTAGGGTTAGGGGGTTAGGGCTAAAGGTTAGAGTTAGAGGTTAGGGTTTAAGATTAGGGGTTATGGTTAGGGTTAGGGGTGAGCGCAGCTATTTCTTAACCATTCAAAGTACAACCGCATCCGACCCATTTCTTTTCGCCCGTTTACAGCTCTCAGTTTCCAATATTTCGGATTGCCCGCTCGGGTTTTTACACTTTCTTGGAATATTTAAACAATCCAATGACCCGAACGTAAGCTTTTTGCTTCAACTTCCCGAAAAAACCTATCTCCCAGTTTCGTTTAGTCCGTCCAAATAATCCCTATTTCCCCCATTGCTGTATTATAGGAGTTCTTGTCTCCCGTTTTCTCGGATGAACCACATTTCCGGTCGCCAGAATTTTCCCTAAAATGCCCATAAAAAGGCGAGTTTTGCCATTATTTAGTGACTAAACTTACAGTCTTTAAAACAACTGGTGGAAAAACCAACCGATTTAACTAGCGCCATCGTTGCATACGTGTAAAGGTGTTCTACCGAAATCCAGCTCGTTGCCTCGTAGGAAATATCTTGCTCCCTGCAAATGGGCTTTGCCTTTTAACCTAAGTCTCGGCTGAAAAAAGCGCTATTTCACATGTCTCGATCTACTACAAAGCTTCAAAGCATGCATCTTTGGAAGAGGCAGCCAAGCACTCTGACAGACGGTTATTTTCATCTACGCCATTACTCTAACCACGTCGCCGCCGCCGCAGCCACCACCGCCGCCGCCGCCGCCACCACCGCCGCCGCCGCCGCCACCACCACCGCCGCCGCCGCCACCACCACCACCACCACCACCACCACCATCACCACCACTGCTGCTGCCGCCGCTACCGCAGCTATCATTATCAAGGCTAAAAACACAAGCGCCGCAACTACCAGTGTCTTTGTGTATGTCCTAGGCGAGAGTGGCATCGGCAATTGCGGCGACTCAACGTGAACCCGCCAGTGTGTAGGTCGGTTCCTGCAATCCAAATGTTAAGGTTAAACAGCACTTTATTATCTGTGAAGAAGAGAGCATCAACTCACTCGCCTTCATTCAATTAAACACCCCACCCTCAATGCCGTGCCAGACTCCGTGCGTGGGCGGATGGACGGCCGTGACACTGGTCAGGCGTCGAACGTCTCGTGACAATGAGGGGGGGGGGGGCAGGTAGGCGCCGTGTCTACGCCCCCACGGGTGTTGTCTGTGTCAAGAGGACATCGAACGAGTAGTGTGCGTGTGTGTAGGGACGGAATGAGGGCTGTATTTCCGTGCGCAAACCTAAACTAACAACCAGAGTGACACCAGAACGGAGAATTTAGTTAAAACGGCGGCAGGTTTGTCGTCAAAAGTTGGTCAGACAGGTAGCGGTGCCTAACGAGAGTTCAACCGTCGCGAAAGACGACGTCCACCGCGCGCCCCACGGAGTGGATACAGCAGCAGTGACTTGCACTTGTGTGGCATCTGTTGCACTCCTCCCTCACTCACCTTACTGCAATGGCAAGGCAATATGAAGACGCTCGGAGGTGGCCGCGGACGCAGAGACTGACGAAACCAAACAGTCTCTCTGCGCGTCTCTAACGCACGATCTGGTGTCCACAACCTTTGCCATTGGGGCATTCATGCCTCACCTGGGTGAGAGTGCCGTAAAGACCACATTATGAGGGAGTCATTGCAGCCTGGTGGAGGGGCGCGCACCGATCGTTCTTACGGAACTCACTCGTCCTGTTGTGCCTTACGGGCTCTCTGTCGAGCCCAACCAGCGCATGCTATAGGCAGTATGTTATGTCGGTAATAACATACTGCCTAGATATATATTGGGGTCTTTCAAACCACGGCTCTTAGCGCGTCGTGAGAGATTCAAGCGCGTCGGATTTTCCATGGGGCGGGGGGGGAATGTTCTGATGCTCGGTGATGATGGATTCTCAAGCGTCGGCCCTTCTCTCTCTCTTCCTTCCTCCGCGCATCAGCTGACGTTCCGAGCCGACAAACAACTAATTACGAGATTTGGCGCAATGGATGACGCGGCATGGAGTTCTACGCCTGTGACGCGCCATCACACGCATGCGCGGTATTAGCTGGGACCTATTGGGCCTCAAGGACTGTAGGCGTCTGCTATGTCAGGATCAGTAAACCATGGTCATCGCAGCTTGGTGTGCGCTGGCAGTTTTATGATGCCTGGTTCCCTGCTGATAGGTGCGCTCGTACTCACGCTAACCATACAGGTCGTGAGAATGGCTGCCCAGTCATCTTCGTCCTTCTGATTCTTTGCGGTGCTGTTTGTTGTTGGTTAAAATTCTGGTTAAGTAGTTGTTGTGGACCAGGGGATGCGGTGGTATGCCTATATGCGGGTCCGGAGGTGCCAGTCATCTTCGCTCGATCCCTCCTCCTCGGGACTTTTTGACTCTGTCTTGACAACGGACCCAAGTGGGGAGGAGAAAGTGCGGTAGATGCTGCGCAAGTCCACTATCACTACAAACTACAGTGAGTGGCCGATCTCATGAAATGTTGACTGAAATTGCAAAATGCGTTCTCGATTAGGAACGATTATTTAGGCACGGTTGTAATACTAATTATCTTGCGGCATAGTTTTATAACATGTAGGACTCGGCAGGATGTCAGCTTTTCAATACGCTGCTTTTCAATCTCCTGTACTAACCGTACTCGGTAAAAAACTGACTACTTAAGCAGCATGCATTTCCCATTGATTTTCGATGATCCTGCAAATCCAAATATATTTTTTAGAACGAAAGGGCAAAAATATGTTTTCTTCCAGTCAATTGATAAAGAATTGATAAAGAATTACGCCTTTATATTTTATACTCAAGAAAGGAGTATAATTAGATTTTTAAAAAGTTTTCTAATTGCGGAATAGTTTGGAACTTGATCATTTGTTGCACTAACGCTTAGTGATTTCAGTCTACAAGGTGTATGCGTTCCGCGTAAAAAAATAACATATTTTTTCTATGCCATTAAAAAGATATCATACAGAGTCCATAAACTTTTGCAATGGATGCGGACTACGTTGTACATTTCATGAGGAGCTGTGGTAAACGGCTGGCAGAAAGTATATTTTCGTTCATGGTTTCTATAAGATATGCTTGAATTTGCTAGACCATCGAAGATCAATGGGAATAATGCATGCTACTCAAGTAGTCAGTTTTTTTCCGAGTACGGTTAGTACAGGAGATTGAAAAGCAGTGTATTGAAAAGCTGACATCCCGCCGAGTCCTAACTGTTATAAGATTATGCCGCATGCTAATCAGTTTTACAACCCCATCTAAGTAATCATTCCTAATCAAGAACGCATTTTGCAATTTCAGCCAACATTTCATGAGATCGGCCACTCACTGCACATAATGTAAAAGTCTGACGAGCTGGGGAACCAGAACCAAACTCATGCGCAATTCACCGTCCCTGAGTGCGCCCTGCTGTGGAACACACGGTGGACATTGTCGGACACGACGGTTGAGTTGTCGCGTGTGGCCTCACCTGGACTCTGTGCAACCCGACAAATGTGCGCCGTGCGGTCTCCTTCGTTTTGGTCCAGCGCATCTGCAGCGTAGGCGGTTGCGGGTGTGGTGGTTATGCGGTGTACGTGTGTGGAGTCTGAGCTCCACCATAATCAGGGCTAATCCTATTTAGGAAGGAGAAGACAGAAGGCACCAGAATGAGGGGTTTATTGTGAACAGAACCCACAGTTGTCCTCTCAGGCGAAAGTGGCCAATGGCGAAGCCAGGGCTGGTGTTGATTGTGTCCAGTCAGGCCTGAGAGTCCCTGAGCTAGTGGTGGCAGCCGCTTTTGTAGGCTCGTGGGTCAAGCTCAAGTGGTGTCCAGTCAGCGTGTGTTACACTTGCCGATGGGTGGTGTCCCAGTGGCTTGTTTTGCTGGTTGCAGGGGGTGGCGCGTTCAAGTGGCCGCATGGGCAGCTGCGACTGCGCGGACGCAGGTATGCCCGAGCTGTTGGTCGTGCGACTTCAGGTCAGCTCATCTGGGACGGCTCGCTGCAAGGGGTGAATGACCTTGATGCAGCGAGGTCTTGAACAATGACGCCGGACCAGTCATGATGGCTGGCCGTTACACGGGGATCGCTATAGGTAAGCACGAGCTTGACAAAGGACCTCGTGTCTGGGCGAGCGGATCCGAGTTTATGACTGCCCAGATGACTGGGTGAGGTGGTTGGTCGGCATGACTGTGGGTCTGGGGCACAGCATGCAGGTGAGCGAGTGATGGCGTGAGAAGACCAGAAAGAGAATGCAGAATGGCGGTTCGACTGTCGTTGCCGACGGTGTCCATCGTGTGCTCCACAGCGGGGCGCACGCAGGAACGGTGACTGACGCGTGTGTTGGCTAATAGCGGTAGTAGACTTGCACATCATCTGCCGCCTTCTCTCCTCCCCGACAAACCTGTCAAGACATCGTCAAGCAGACCGGAAGTGGGATCGGAAGAGGGTAGCTGTCACGGCGTGAACCTGCGCCTAGGCGTGTCGTCACCTACCGCCCTCATGAATAGCATTTGTTACGGGCACACGGCCCAAGAATGTGTTCCGTACACTGATCTGCCCCCCCCCCCTGCGCCGCCCGTTATTGAGAGCAAGTAAGTAGAGGCAAGGGATCAAACGTAGAATCACTATAGGGAGCAGTCAGGATAAACACGGCAAGAGAACAGCATAAAGAAAAGAGCATAAAATGATGAGGAGAGTGCAGGAAGGGGAGATCACCGCCGCTAGTCGGGGTGGAAAGCTGTGAAAGGTCAGCGAGGCAGCAAGCTGTGCTGCCGGCCAAGCTCTCATACAGCAACATTAGACAGTCGAGCCGTCGGGTATCCTCTCTGAACGCTTGATTTTGCAAGAACTCGACGAAGGCGGTTGACCGTTACAGGTTACGCGCCTGGCCGGAGAGACGATAGAGTACCAGCCTGGTGTACCCACTGCCGACGATCCCACGACATGGCGACGCTTACCTAGGGGAGGCAGATTAAGGCAAGTGCGCACGTTACGGACAATTGTAACTCCACCATGCTGACGACACAGGTACTATCTAGGAGCTCGGTTACCCGTTTCCTTAATCGTTTACGACCATATGACCCAAGTGCAATGGCTCCGAGTATCACTGAGGCACCACGGAGTCCCAGGTGTTATTTTCGACATGTCTAACATCCGCAGAGCGCGGACATAGGCTTCTATTTAGTACCTGATCGGGAGTGTTGTGCCCCCCGCCACGAGGGGCAGTGCTGGAGGTGAGTGGGGCCAGACCGAGGGGTTAAAATTACTCCCGGCACGTGATTATCGGACTGCGCTGACTGGCTTAATTACTGGCGTTTACGCTAGACATCAGCGTCAGCCAATGCGCTCAACCTCGTCACCATCTGGTTGAAAAGGCTGGAACAGTCGATCGGAGCATGAGAGAGAGAGAGCTGCGCGGACACTGAAGAATCTGTCTTCACGGTGCATCAGCGCATTCCTTAGTCTAGTGAATCGGGCACGCCTCTAAACCATCACGGTTCACAGAAAGCTGTTCGCAGAAGGCTGTTAACTGACGGGATTATTCGGCTACCGTCAGTCAGGCTAGCATAACTCCTTCCTGCTGTGGCTTTTGTGACGTTTATGCCTAGGTGAGGTCCAAGACCGCCAATTAGATTTAGCCCGACACCAACAGTGAGGTCCTGTGTTTGAGACGTGTAGACCGATTGTCCAATGTCGTCAGCGATTGCACCAGTGTCCACCTCCGGTAGTATTTACAGCAGGTGTGCTAACTCACGAAATGTTAACAGAAATTCTGAAATGCGTTTTCGTTTTGAAAAGATTGCTTAAGTAGGGCTGTAAAACTTATCATCGTGCAGCACAATTATATAATAATTCAGTTGTCAAATGATGCCGGCTTTCGAACGAACTTCATTCTGGCTGCACGCAAAAACCACACCGCGTAAAAAATTACTAATTAAGTAGCACGAATTTT